GAGGTACAGAACATCAGGTGTAGAACATGAGGTACAGAACATCAAATCTACAACATGAGGTACAGAACATCAGGTGTAGACCTTTTGGTACAGAACATTATATGTAGAACATGAGTTTCAGAACATGAGGTGTAGAACATGAGGGGAAGAACATCAGATGTAGAACATGAGGTACATAGAACATGAAGTGTGGAACTCATGTTCTTGTTGAAAGCTTAAATGTTTTCACTGGAGAACCCCTCGTAGTGCTGTTTGAGCTTCAGAGCAGCATTTCTCTGAACGTCTCTGCAGGTCAGTGTTCTCTTTGAGGAGCAGGAATCTCTGAAGGGGGAGGCGGTGGATCTGTCCTGTCCCATCAACCCCAGCTCCACCCAGGAGGAGATGGAACAGTCCGCCCACCTCATGACACTCGGACTCTGTCGGATTTCTGCTGTGAAAGCTCCTCCTCCTCCACCTGCTGAGCCCCCCTCGCTACAGCACACCAGGACCGACGGACAAATAGAGACTCCGCCCCCTAACCGCAGGCAGCTGCTGTGCTTTTTTTGTCCACTGACTCTCCCATCGAAGCGTCTTCTGGACGTCCATGTCCGGTCTCACCAAGCTGGCGGTGGATTCATCTGCATCCGTTGCAGCAGGACATCTGATAGCTGGGAGGAGCTGGAGCTTCACTGGAGGAGCCACAGCAGGAGAAGGAGGATGAGGACGAGGGAGGGACAACAGCAGGAGGAGAAGAAAAAGAAGAAGAAGTGTCAAAGAACAAACAGGATGTCAGTGTCGGGAAGCACCTGGAACAGGACTTCAGGTCGGTTCAATCATAGTCAATGACTGATCAATTATTAGTCTGCTGCTAACAGAGCTGCTGATTGGTTGACTTCAGACAGATGGAGGAGCCCACTGATTGGACAGGGCGAATCCAAGGAGGCGGAGCTTTCTGACAGGTCACTAAGGACTTTTCTTGTGAAAAAAAATAAATAAATACAATTTCTTTGTCAGTTGAAAAACATTTGTGCGTGTGTGTTGCTCAGCAGGTCCATTCCCCGGAAGACCAGACCACATCAGACCGATTCATCCCAGAACTTCTCAGGGTTCAGAACAACCAACACAAAAAACATGGAAACTAATACCAGCCATCAGAAAGGCCTCTGTTGCTCACTGTGTCACAGGTGACTACATTACCCAAAACATCTCACTGCAGTCTGAAAATAACCTGAGCAATTGAAGCTGCAATTGGACAGGTGACCTGTGACATTTCCTCTGAAGGACATTCTCTTCCAAACTGACTCTGAGGCGTCACCTTGGTGTCCACAGTGGGGAGAGACCATACACCTGTCCTCACTGTTCCTACAGCAGCAGACTGAAGGCCTCACTTCTGCAGCACTTGAGGACTCACACAGGTACCACACCTGAGACTCATAAGCCTGGTATCCACAGGTCTGGTTCTTGTTGTAGCCTGTTGTGTCCGGTTCTAGTGGGACCTCTATTTTTGTGTCTCCACTTTGCCTATAGTTCCCGTTTAGTGGGAGGATTGTTCACCTCTAGTGGGCGGATTATTAATATCAACGCACCTTACCAGCTGGTGGCGGTAGTGCTACATTAAGCTCTTTTCTAAGCACCACTAACGTATTAGAAGAAGAGCTGGAAAACAACACACAACCAAAATGGATGACCTCGATGAACTTGAAGCAGAACCAGCCGCACAGCCCATCCTGGTCTCTGTCCCACAGTACATCCACGCCACCGGGCACATCTACGCCACCGGGCACATCCACGCCACCGGGCACATCCACGCCACCGGGCACATCCACGCCACCGAGTACATCTACACCACCGAGTACATCTACACCACCGAGTACATCTACACCACCGAGTACATGCACGCCACCGGGCAACACGCAGCAGAGCGGCAGCAGAGCGGCACCAAACAGCACCCGTTACTAGGTAAGAAGCAACAATCGTGTTTAACATCATATTGATCATGTTGATATGAATGTTGTTTTGTTTTTGTTGTAAAACACCTTGCATGTATTCAAACTACTTGTTTATTCAGTTGTAATGGATAAATGTTAAATTTAGTTATTCATTTATTACTTAAACTTTCATTTATGAAGTTTATTATTGAAATTATACAGGGTGTAGTGATTTTTGTTCAGATTAACGATGCTCTGTTCTTTTTCTAAATTAGCACAAACCGTTGTAAATGACTACATGTAGTTTATTTATGCCCACCTGCTTACTATCATTAAAGTACTAGACTGCTTTATGAACAGAATCATTTCTGATCTTGTGAACAAACACCTTTTGAAATTAGCAGGAACTTTAATGTAAATAATTTATTTAAAAACTCTACCTGTACTTCATCATCTAACAGCCATTTTCTTATGTGTTATTCCTAGGCAATAGAAAGCGCAGATCAACAAGTGCAGCAGAGAGCTTTGTTTCTGCACATACAGAACAAGAGGAGATGAACCGGAAGCAGAGAGAGGAACACTTCCATTTTATTTGTGAGGATGCCAAAAAAGCAAGGCAAGAAGAAGCTGCGGAGAGGCAACGCCAAGCTGCAGCAGCGAGGAAGCAGGAGAAAGCAATTAGGAGGGAGGAGATGGCCTTGAGGAGAGAGGAAGCAGATGTTCGCAGAGAGGAAGCAGCACAGCGAAGGCAGGAGGCTGAACAGAGTGCTGCTTTCAGTCAGGCACTCCTTGGGGTGCTGGAATCCATTGCCCGTTCCATGGCAAACAGACATGTTTAAAAATATTTAGAGTAGATCATAGTTGATCTATAGAAATGTAGATCCTGCAAGGTAAGCCCACAAATAGCCAAACATGTAGCTTGTTAAGTTTGCATATTTAATTAGTGTATAATTATTTTTTTTTGTACAGGTCTTTATTTCTAATAAAAGAAACATTTTCAAGTCTTGAGCTTCCATCTGATCATCAAAAGTGAAGTGCTTACAGTGTTTTTTTACGTCAATAGTGTAGATAAGTGAAGTAATTGTTTTTTACCTGTAACAATGCTGGTGAAGATTCTCAGTTATCCTTGACACGGCAAATCCCCCCCAAAACAGATAAAAACAAAACCACAGGACTTTTTTTAAAACTGAAGACGTTTCGCTAATCATCCGAGGAGCACTCACAATTCAATGAAAAAAGGAATCTGGGATTAAAGTTATAAAGCTGTGGTGTTCTGTAAGCTTGCTGGAGATTGATCTGCATGTGTCAGTCTCCATAATACAAGCTTACGGCACACCACAGCTTTATAACTTGAATCACACTCCTCGTTTCATTCAATTGAGAAAGAGCCTCGGATGAGAAGTGATACATCTTCAGTTACAAATAAAGTCCAGGTTTTTTATTTATGTATTTTTTTTGGTTTTATCTGTAATGAGTACTGAAAAACGTAACCATAATACAGAATGTCCATGTGTTGTAAATGAACATTGCAATGGAGTTTAAAAGGTGTAGGACTTGTGTAATCTACGTTTACAATCCTCCTCATTCAGGAGGTTTTCAGTCATTGCATGTCAAACACCTCGGCCATGATGTCCATCTTGTGGATCCAGCAGCTTCTGCATCTTTTTCACCCAAGGTCAAAAATTCTCTCCACGACTTTCACTGTGGTACAAAGGAGCACTAACTTAATATTACTTAACAGCACTTCAATCATGAAGATAATTTGCAACAGCTTAATTTAAAGAGCTGCGTGGTAAACATAAGCTCTGAAAGAGTTGTTAAATATCAAATCAAATGTAGGTTATTATGTAATGTACGTAATATATATATATATATAAATATACATACATTGTATACATGTATACAAATCAAATTACAAAAAGACTTTATTGATCCCAGAGGGAAATTAAATGTAACTCATCATCCTGGTTTCATTAAAGAGTTGTTCTAGATGCTGATGCTGTGGGCAGGAAGGATCTCTTGTAGCGCCTGTCTTACAAGGGATCTGAAGAAGTCTCTGGCTGAAGACATATATATATATATATATATATAAATATTAAAATAGATTAATGTATATATGCATAAACAAATATAAAGTTCTTGTTGTAGGTTTTGGTTCTTTGTTAAAAACAAAAATTAAGGAGTATACAGTTTTTCTAAAACTACAGCCACTAAAAAACGCAGCATATGTGATAGAAGCACAGCAGCAGTGTTTGTTTTGCCATTTTTACACGAACCTGGTAATAAGGCATGTCTGTACATTAAAAAAACAAGAATAATTATTAATCCATGTTTATTTTCAAATCAACACTTTAACGTTCACTTGTATCTAAGGAAGGCTGGGGAGGTAAAAAAAAGATTAAGGGGTGGAATTAGGATAAGTTACAGCTCATGAGGTACTCCATCAGAGCATCTCTGACACCTCGGCCCTGCTCTCCATCTTGTGGGACAGAGACCAGGACGGGCAAAAAAAAAAAAGCATCGAGGTCATCCATTTTGGTTGTGTGTTGTTTTCCAGCTCTTCTTCTAATACATGTTAGTGGTGCTTAGAAAAGAGCTTAATGTAGCACTACCGCCACCAGCTGGTAAGGTGCGTTGATATTAATAATCCGCCCACTAGAGGTGAACAATCCGCCCACTAAACGGGAACTATAGGCAAAGTGGAGACACAAAAATAGAGGTCCCACTAGAACCGGACACAACAGGCTACAACAAGAACCAGACCTGTGGATACCAGGCTATAGAGGTACCACACCTGAGACTCACACATGTTATAAAGTGTCTGTGACTGTCTCTGTGTTTGTCTCTCAGTATATTGTTTTGCAGGTAAATTTTGTGTTGTTTGTTCACAGGTGAGAAGCCGTACAAGTGTTCTGAGTGTTCCTATGCTTCCATCGATCGCAGCTCTTTGGTCAGACACGTCAGAACTCACAGTCAGGAAAAACCATACAGGTGTCACCTCTGTACATACTGCAGGTAGCTCACCTGATACACCTGTGTTTGTTCTATGATTGGAATGTGTTTCCTTTGTTCTTGCTGGTTGTCATAGTAACCAGTTCTTTTTTTTTGTTTTCAGTATCCAGAAGAAAAGTTTGGACCTCCATGCTCGCCGTCATCACACCAGTGAAGCGTTTCCATGCCAACACTGTGAGTACTCAAGCCCAGACTGCCAGATGTTCATGAAACACATCCAGAAATATCACGCTCCTCTGAGTGTTGATGATGGCACTAGAAGGCGGTTCACCAATTCATAAATAAGAAATGAAGTTCAGATTTTGAGGTCATCTTGGTTGCGGGGAGTTTACCAGAGCCGGACCAGAATCGAATCAAGGACAGTTCCGGTCTCTGCTCGCCTGTGAGGAAGCCTCTCGTGCCGGGATGCGATTTGGAGGCGCTGCTCGAAGGTTGGCCTTTTCATCAGAGTTCTTCTGATCTTCCATCTGCACTCTTCTGGATTAACTGGATCTGTACAGGACCACCGTTTCGGAGCTGTCCAGCTGAAATGATCTGTTCCAGCTCACGCTGTTGGTCTGTTTTCTTCAAGCTCGGTTCGGACAGATCCTGAACCCGTGCAGGGCTTTACCTGAGCAGGGGTTTTTTAATCACCTGGAACAGATCTCTACTGACCCGAATCGAGCCAGAATCCTGCCTTTCAGAACGAGCGGACACTCTGGAGCTCGCTCTGTGCTTTGATGTGGTTTGCCTTTTTGCTCTGCCTGCTGGTTCTGACCCAGCTCTGACATGAGAGCTGGAGCATTTGGTCTGCTCCGGGGTGCTGGAGCTTTCAGCCATGCTCAAACTGCAGTCAGTCAGTCATGCCAGGCCCATTGGACCACTGGAAACTAGAGGTTGTCTGGTCCAAAATCCTTCGGCTCTTTTCACGTGTGGGGGTCCAGTACTTCGTAGACCTGAAGTTTATTCATCCTCATCCTCATCATTTTCAGAACTTTGACTATTTGAATTCGTTGAATGCGTCTGGATTTGCCCATCTCTGTCAACTTCATTGCTTTCGGGTTCTAAGTGACCATGTCTTTATAAGTTCTTCTCAGCATGGATCGATTATGGGGCCAAGCGCCACATTGACTCCTGTAACTACACATCTGCTACAACAAACACAAGGAAACGTTTAATAATCATGTTGTTACTGTTGTCTGGGATCCAGCCCTGGACCTCCCACACTTTGCAGCACACCAAATGATTTTAAAAACATGTCTGGACTACATTTCTTGCACATTAATGTGCGCAGTCTCCTGCGTAAAATTGATATGCTGAAGATTTGGGTCTGTTTAGTTGGTGCTAATGTAACTGTTATTTCTGAAACCTGGTTATCCAAATCAGTTTTGGATAAAGATGTGTCAATTTACGGATTTAACATCTACAGTTTTGGTCGTCAAAGAAAGGGAGGTGAGGTTGCATTTATATCAGATCAGCCTGGATTCTCAGCTGGTGTCTGCTAAAACACTCCCAAATCAGTTTGAAATGCTGGCAATAAACATTAATTTGCATGGAGGCCAAACTTGAACTGTTGTGGGCTGTTACACCCCCACCCCAGCAACTTCTGAGGCCCTATTGTCTTTAATGAACTTCCTAACAAATTTACATTTCAATTACGTTGTTCATTCAACCTTTCTTTAGACAGGTAAGTCCCATTGAGCCTCGAGGACTCGTTTACAAGAGAGACCTGATTAAATTTCATTCAACCAATTGTCCTTGTTGGTGATTTTAACTTAGGCCCTATTTACACGGACATGGTGGAGAAACGTAGGCTTTTTCGTATGTTAATTAGAGGAAAATATCCACATTGACACGGTCAAATTTAGTGTTTACATGCATCCAGAGGAATCCCCACCCCCACTCCCCCACCCCCGAATTCTCTGTAGTTACCATGCCGGGTCATTAGATGGAGCTGTGAATTTTGTACCTTCACCTAATGCGCATGCGTGCTGCCTCGGCCTGCTCCTTTCCTCTGGGCTTAAAGCTCAGCTAACAACAATTTAACAAGTTGAAGTTGGATTTTGGATAAGAGTCGACAGATCGAGAGGGATTGTTGCCCCTTGAGATTGTTGAGGGAGTATCAGAGAAACTGAGACGTTTATTTTCTAAACATAACGTCCCAGTGGCTTTTAAACCCCAAAATACATTAAAGACTGGTTCATCCCAAAGATCCAGTCCCCCGGCACAAACAGAGTAATGTTGTGTATGCTGTTCAGTGTCAGGAGGGTGATCAGTCTTACATCGGGGAAACTAAACAGCCACTGGCCAAAAGGATGGCCCAGCACAGAAGATCAACATCATCAGGCCAGGACTCTGAGGTCTACACTCATCTCCAGGTCAGAGGTCACTCTTTCAGGGATGAAGATGTTCACATCCTGGACAGAGAGGAACGATGGTTTGAGAGAGGAGTAAAGGAGGCCATCTTTGTGAAAAGAAACCGTCCATCATTAAACAGGGGCGGAGCCTCCAGGTTCAACTGTCCCCCTCTTACAATGCTGTGATTGCTAGTATCACTCAGCCCTCTGTGAACAGTAAACAGCCATCAGGTGCTCATGTAGTGATGTCAGGACAGCTTTGCTGCGGACATACTACTAATTAATTATTCTTAAGGCTAGTTCAAGCACAAAGAATATTAATTGTTTAATTAACAACAGATTATTTCTTTTTCGAGTTAAATTTCTGCCATGTGACCAAGATAACTTGAGAGTGGAGTAATAATTAGTGACATGAGACGCCATTTTATCTTTGACCCATCAGAATAAATGCGGTCATTTATTTAACAGAATCAAAATTTAACATCAAACATGTACACATTGATTGGCTGATCTGTTTCTGATTAATAAACTTAGCAAGTTCAAATAACAAGACAACAGAAGATTACTGATGGAGAATGATTAATCTCTGAAGGCATTTAACTTGATTTACTGGCGAATAGAAGTTTAAAGAGGAGGTTGAGATGGATGAAGGAAGATGTGTTGACCCGGAATGGCACCCTTCTTTCGACACCAGCTCAGCCCTCGGTACACTCAGCGTGTGACGACTTGTTACCTTGGCAGAAGATAAATCAGCTCCGGTACAGAGGTCCATCTCACGCTTCTTTCAGCGTCTCCGGTCAGAGTGGCTGGGGATCGTCAGGAGTCGTGACGAAGTACTCCGTTCGACAGAATAAGCTTCCTTAGGAGGAATCTTCATTAGAAGTTGTAGGGCGTTACACCCGGGTGAGTTCACAACGAGGCAGGCAGTGACTCCGCTGGAATGGACGGACCCTTGGCACATGGTCCAATTCCATACTCCAAAGCTGACTTTCAGTAAGAACTGAAAGTTCCTGTACGACTCGCCATCAGACTGAGTCTTCCAGTAAGGCTGAAAGTTCCAGGAAGACTGAATAGTTCCAAGAAGTGTTGACTTTTAAAGGGTATCCACTTCCTGTCACTTGGTACTTCCTGATTGGTTAGCACAACCAGCAGGGGTGGAGTTTAGTGATGTCAGAGGGTTATTAGGAGTCACAGAGAGCAGAAATGTTTTTAAGAATGGTTAGTACAGCCAGGAAAATTTTGAAGAAGTGAGACTCAGCAGGTGCCAGCTTCTTATTTACTGTCTGAGAGTTTTAAAACAAGGCACTTCGTTCTCATAACTTGTTCTGACTTTTGACTGACATAAAGTCCACTCCTCACTCAGACAGAAGATTAAAATGCACACTTACTTCCTAAATAGACATTTAACTGTATTATCAAAGTCTAATGAGGTTTAAAAATCATTAATACTGTTTCACAGTTGATTTAAATGAGTGGTTCACTTCAACATTTAGAAATGGTACGAACTAAACACACTTTTGATTATCAAGATGTTGTAAAATAGTAATGATAATGTAAAAGGAAGAGTGTTCTTTCAATTGATTAATTCAGGATACAATTAAATAGTCTCTTGATGAAATAATTTGTATTTCTGGATTCAAATCAATGAAATAACAGTTCCTGTCCCATGAAGGTCCTCAGAGACAGATTGAGGTTGGAGGTCTAGTTCACTACACTAATGATCCATTGTTAGGCTGATGGTCCTTCTTGAGCATGTGATCAGCTGGTTTTGGTTGTCAGCAGCAAACTGGTTGATCCACTCTGAGAAGGTGCTATTTAAGAGACTGAGCTGAATACAGCACCTCAGACTGAGGAAGTCCTCAGGATGAGAGATGAAACGTTTCTACATTTTTTGTTTTGTTTTTTTGAATGTCCCTAGGACCAGATTGAATTTTTTTAATATCTCGAGAATGTTTATGGATCTCACCAGTGCAGGGGAACACCACCTTTGAACAGAGTTCTCCTCATCTCAAAACAAACATCATTCATGTTCCATCCTGATCAGAACTCTTACAGTGACCTAAAGAGCATCTATTATCCTGCTCACCGCTCTCGTCTCCCCCCTCTGCAGAATGTCTACGTCACTGTGTGCTTGTTTGTGCGATGAGTTTTTTAGTATCAGACTTTTTCTTCTCAGGCCAGAAGAAAAAGTCTGATAGGAATTTTTTCGCCTCCAATTCCTACATGTGTCCAGTTTCACTTCTTTTTGTCTGTCTGAACAGATCCATCCATCCCACATTGCACCGGAGATCTGTCTAAACAGGTCTCACTTGTAAATGAATCTTTGAGGCTCAGTGTGATTTATCTGTTTAAATAAAGGTTGAATGAATGAAAAGAATTAGCAAATATTTGTTCCATTTTCTCACCACTGTACATGACCTTTGTGCCTGTAGTGAAGTGAGGTCATAAAACTTTTCACTCCTTCTGGCAGGCTAATCATGTCTGTGGATGAGCTTCATGAGGAACGTGTGACTGCAGCTCCTCACCACAGAAGCTCAGGAGAAGGTGTCGGTTCAAGGGAACAGCAGAGGAGGATCAAGTTCTTCAGGCAGCGGACCTCCCCAACATCCAGCTGTTGTATCTTTGTCCTCATCCCATCGTCCACTGGATTTGTGGAAAGGATGGTCTCTCTCATGAACAACAAGTGGACTGATGTGAAACAAATGTTCTTGTGAACTAATCAGAAGTGAGCTCCTAGTCAGTCTAAATGATGAAAGAAAGAAGTATTATAACTATAATAAATATAATATAAGTCAGAATAAATAAATCTGGTATTTATTATTTATTTAATCTGGTATAAATATAAATATAATAAAAGATATATATATATATATATATATATATATATATATATATATATAAATATATATATATATTTATATGTGTGTGTGTGTGTATGTCAGAATCAGAATAAACTTTATTGACATTGCACCGATATACAACGCGAACATGTACGTACAGTCGTCCGAAGATGGGCGGAGTGCACGAAGCTGCGGCTAAAATAATCAGCGCGGCCTCTTATTCTTATTCAGAATAATATTTCTCTTAGATGAGAAAAGGAAAGAAAACATGAGGAGAGACGATAAAAAAAAAAAAGATCTCTCACTCCGTGTCCTAGACAGGGCACGATTTGAGGCATCAAACAAACCTCCACAGCAAAGCAACATAAACAGACGTTATACATGAACATGCAGGCCGTGAAAACATAGAATTTTTAAGGGAAAGTCGTAGCATAGTCCAGAGCCCCCCCTCAGCCATTGTCCAGATAAGAGGTGACGTTCATCTTCAGCTCAGTTGAGGTTCTGTTACATGTCCACGGCCTTGGGGGAGGGAGGGGTGAGGAAACAGTCAAAGCATCTTTGTTGTTTTCTGAACATTCCAGGAGGAGTTGAGATAAGTCCGGCATCAAGGCCACAGTTTGGGTCAGACAGAACTCATGAATTGTTGTTTCTGCCTTTAAAGTCTCCGCTGGTACATATTCTCTGATGGAAACTCCAAAACAGCCGAATTGATCCTTTACGCCAAAGTCGAGCTCACATCTTCTCCAGATTATTCCACCATTCATGAGTGCTGCCAGGGAGAACACAGTCCTGATAACAGCTGCTCCAATTCCCTGTCACAGCTCCACGTTCAGTCCAAGCACTGTCAAGCTTCAACACCTCCACACGAATTTGTAGACAACCAGATTCCACCAACCCAAACAGTAGATTCTAGTCGTCATCGTGAATCCAATTTGTTCCTTAGAGTTCAGAGGGTCCTCCTTACCCTGACTCCTGTCGGGAGAAGTTGATTGATTTTGTTGAGAGACCAGCTGATCCTTCCAATTAAGAGGTATGCAGGAAAAAAAAGAGTCTTTTTAAGGTTCACAGGACAAAAGAGCGCAGCGGGGAAGCAGGTGGGGGGGGGGAACACGTCTGGTTTCACCATAGAATAGCAGGAAAAGCAGGAAATATATACACATATATATACACATATATAAATATATATGTGTATATATATGTGTGTGTATATATATA